AGTTCGAGTCTGGCTGCAAGGTTTTGTGGCTCTTTGAGCATCCTAAAGGCCTCAAATATCTGTTTTAATAACTGAAAATGACGCAGGAAGTGTGGAATGACTGACTTCCTGTTGGGCAAAATCTTTGTAATAAGAGCAATAATCTAGGGCTGCAGCTAACGATGATTTTAGTATTCGAAGCTTCTACAGATTATTTCAACGATTCATCAATGCGTCGTTTAAGAAGTACTTCACCTCCCGGCAACAGAATCAGCTGTGCACGTTTATAGGTGATACATATTTATTGGTCCTTTCGGAAATTCATAGCGTGCCATACAGCAAACATCAGACCAACAACCAGACAGCTGCTTTACAAACACAAACATCACCGAGTGCTATACAAGTTATACTAAAGGCTCGTGCAGACTACACGCCAATGGCCGTGCTGTTCACACTACACAACTTGCCGTCTTGTGACAGGAGTCTTGAAGTTGTTTTGGCGTTCACACTACGTGACTGATCGGTGACAGGGGGTCACACACTACACGAGCTGACAGCAGCTGTGTCACCTGATGCAGGTCTCCAAACCACGTTTTGTCAAGAAAACACGTGTGAAATGTGAAACGCAAAATGAGCGATCCTGCACACGAAACAGCTGTTTGTTATTATAAAGATGGCAATTATAAAGACAAAGAATATGGGTGAAAGGATGGATTAGCACAGCAGGTAGCAGGGATCGTCTGAGCTACAGAGAGAGCTGGAGGGGAGTTAAAAGGTGCAGCTCCCGACACCCAGTTAATGAATGACTGTGACGTTACAACTCACGGCCCAAAAAGGAGAACAACAAATGCACATGTGGACATTATCAGCTGAGGTCTGATTTTGGCTTCAACTCAACAATGAATCATGATTTCAGTTAAATGCTAAAGTTGCTGTTAGTGTCTGCTGGCATAACACCAGGTGCTTTCTGATCAGATGTCGTCGTGCTGTTGCCGAGGCGACATAAGTTTCATTTTACGGTGGATGGACGGTAACATTACAACGTTGTTGTTTTCTTTTAGCTTGAAATATTCCCATACTTTGGACACTTTCTTCTTTGTCCCTGCTACTTTCTCTCTCCTCCTTCACTTTGCAAACAGCGTCATCATAATCACGTCCTGTTCACAGCGTAAGCGCGATGTGCGACAGTAATAAATGTCTGTGCGAAACAGTGTGCTTTATAGTTATATGGATTAAACGAAGCATCAATGCATTTTCGATTTAATCAATGAATCGCTTCAGCCCTACAATAATCCCACCACATATCATGTGAAGATCAAAGAAACTTTTTCCAAAACATGTTTGTTTAGGGGCGCTATTGAGCCCCCTGGCCACACCCGACCCCAATCACTGCAGAACATTGGATTTCCCACCAGACCTGAGGTGTGCAAATTTCATGAGGATTCGAGTATCCTAAGGCCTTCAAAAATGAGTTCTCCAGGGAGAAAAAAATAATAATAATCATATTAATAATCTGAGCAAAAACAATAGGTTCCTTGCACTTTGTGCTAGGACACCGTTGGTGCCCTGGCACTTTCATGCTCGGGCCCTAATAATATGGTAATAACATATGATCTTTTGGTGGTTTGTATGCCAAGTGTCTTTGGGCAAGACACTGAACCCCAAATGGCTGCTGGTATGCCATTGTTGTGTGAAATTTCTGCTTCTGACGAGCAGTTGGCACCTTGGTCTCTGCTCATCAGAGTGTAAATGTGTGTGAATGTGATGTAGTTTAAAGCGCAGTAGTTGAAAAGACTAGAGAGGCGCTATACAAAAAACAGACCATTAACCATTTAACTAAGTAAACCAATGCACATGCTATTTTATTTGGTAGTTTGTGCAAGCAAGGGAAGCACATGGCGGTACAGACTATTCAAACAAAGAAATCCTACTTTGTAAGGTATTTTCAGTGAATCCTTTTTTTCTTTTTTCCCCAGAAGCGCCAATGATCCAGCTGATAATTGGCAATGTGGAGGAGGACTGTTCTTCATCTGTCAGCAGCCATACCAATGTGAAACCTGCTACTGCTAAATGCCTGAAGCTAAGCAGGTTTGGGCTTGGCCAGTACCTGGATGGGACACCTCCTGGGAAAACTAAGTGCTGCTGGAAGAGGTGTTGGGGGGCCAGTAGGAGGCAGTCTTCTCTCTGGTCCTAATCATAAGAACCCAGTGCAGTGATGGGGAATGTGCTGTAGGAACTGTCGTCCTTCAGACAAGACGTTAAACTGAGGTCCTGACTCATTGTGGTCATTAAAGAGCGCATGGCACTTGTCACAAAGAGTCGAAGGTTCCCCAGTGTCATGGCCAATCTGGCAAACGAATGTAGTTTTTTGTAGGCTTTAATAAAGGAAAATGACAGTATGTTTCCTTGTTTTCGTCTTGAAAAGGTTAGTCTAATAAACAAGATAACCAAAACTAAAAACAATCATCTTGAAATCTTGTAAGAGGCTGTTTTTTTAATGTCCAAACCACTCTTTATAATGTGTTAAGAATCCTTTGAAAATGGGATTCTTCTACTTTGTATAGTAGTAGTTTAATTCCAAGCATAGTTGAGTGTAGGGCTGGACAATATATCAATATAACAAATGTTCAATAAATATTCAACAAATGTTTGATTTTATTCACTTAAATCATTCAAGTGGACTTGAGATGTTTATTTTGTTGAGGAAAATTAAAAAAACTTTTACTTAATTTTACACATGCATAATTGTTAACAGAGATTTTACTATAACTGTTTTGAATGTTCTGCCTTAGATATGTGAAGTGATCCACTGTTTGGCATCAAGTGTTTGTTGACCATAAAGAAATTTAAACCACAATTAAAGCTGCAAGCAGCGTTGGGCGGGCCCTCGCACTTGTAGCGCGTCCGCGTATGAGCCGGCCGAGTTGCATATTCTGGAGCTCTGCCGGTGCGGCTGTCAATCTAGTGTACGTAGGTGAAACGTGCGGCGGGGGCTGCTTCGTTAAAAGTCACTTCCTGTTGCCAGCAGGTGGCGCTATGACTGTGGGTGAATGTCAGCATGTACATGTGTTCAGGGCGGGACTCTCATCCTACATGTACAGTTTGGTCCAGATGTGAGCATGTACACTGAAGCTACGACAACTTCCGTGTCATGGCGAAGAGTTGATCTTTGACGCCACGCCACGGACACGCCCATTGACGAAAACTTGCAAATAGCACAACTTTTCATCTTCAATGCCTTTAGAAGGCACAGCACAAATTTGAGGTCGGTCGGACTAAATCCCTAGGAGGAGTTCGTTAAAGTACGAAGTGTGTAAATCATCCAAAATTTGACGTAAAATTCAAAATGGCCGACTTCCTGTTGGGTTTAGGCTATGGCTCCAAGAGACTTTTTTGTGCGTCTGGACAAGATACACGTACCACAGAAAATTCGTGCACGTAGGTGAAACATGCGGCGGGGGCTGCTTCGTTAAAGGTCACTTTCTATTGCCAGCAGGTGGCACTATGACTGTGGGTGAATGTCGGCATGTACATGTGTTCAGGGCGGGACTCTCATCCTACATGTACAGTTTGGTCCAGATGTGAACATGTACACTGAAGTTACAACAACTTCCTGTTTCATAGCGAATCATCGACGCCACGGACACGCCCATTGACGAAAACGCGCAAATAGCACAACTTTTCATCGTCAATGCCTTTAGAAGGCACAGCAGAAATTTGACGTCGATCCGACTAAATTCCTAGGAGGAGTTCGTTAAAGTACGAAGTGTGTAAATCATCCAAAAATGGCCGTAAAATTCAAAATGGCCGACTTCCTGTTGACTTTAGGCTATGGGTTCTTGAGGCTTTTTTGTGCGTCTTGATATGATACATGTCCCCAGAAAATTTCGTGCATGTAGGTTGAACGTGAACGAGGGGCTAATTTTTTCCAATTTTCTAGGTGGCGCTAGCGAGTCATTTTGCGACGCCCATGAGCAAAACTTGTAAAATATGAAATTTTTCACCGGTTCTGACATGTTTGCAAATTTTGGTGAGTTTTCGAGAATGTTTAGGCCATGTCAGTTGAGCCTACTTTGCAGAAAAAATAAAAAAATAAAAAAATAAAAAAATAATCTGAGCAAATTCAATAGGGACCTCGCACGGTCGTGCTCGGGCCCTAACTAACCATCAAGTTTCTTCAACTTCCACTCAGGAGCAGAAATCAGCCTTTAAAATTGAAAGCAATAATAATTTGACACATATCATGATATCGATCGAAGATATGAAGCTTTTTGTGGTGATAACATTTTTGGCCATATCGTCCAGTGCTAGTTGAGTGGGACCAAAATGGATTCTGTCTCATACTACCACTTTGTTCCTCGAGAGGTGATAGTCCGATAGTATAGCTCCACTAATTATTCTCTTGGTTTTTTAGGCGACCCTCTTCACATTACATGTAGGCATTTTATTCACTGTTAAAGTATTATTTGGGATCAGCCTAGGGCGCCGTAAGAGAAGGTTTTCAACTCAGCACGAGTCAACTCCACCCAGCTGATGCGACACCGATGATTTTAATCATGTGCACCTTGAGCTGTGAGTCCATACTGTAACGTAACTGGTAGAGTTTTGCAATATAAACATCTCAAAACAGAAGCAGCCTTGCTCTGTTTGGGACTGTGAGCTGCACTTTATCGGAGCTGCTGAAGTTAACGTGTGGATTTGTGGTGAGATTTGTGCCTGATCAGCAGGGTTTCAGTTAGTTTTGGTTTCACATGCAGCATGCAGTCTCAAACTGTGTCTGTCAAAAGGTCTAAAGGGGATAACGTCACAACCAGCAGAGCAATAACGTAATGCACTGCAGAGGAAATGCCAGGTAGAATTAAAAATATTATGAATTCTCTTTAAATGATGATGCCAATTTCAAATCTCGCCTCAGGCTCTAACTCTGTCTGGGATATTTTAAAATATTTATAACTGAAGCAGCTTCAAGTGTGTATACGTGTGTGATGATGAAGAGGTGTGTGTGTGTGCATGTTCCTTACCTGAATGAGCCGTACTCAGGTGGAGGCTGGTATCGAACGTGGGGCACCTCCCTTGAGTGCTCCCTCCCTCTCTGCTCCTGGTAAAAATGGCCTCCAGGCTCCTGCTGCTTAGTAGGTGAGCCCATTCCTTTGAAGGGATAGTCTGGAGGTGGGCCACGATGCTGTGGTTTGTAGTAGTCGCCTGGCGGCCCTGGGGGGGGCAACAGGGGGGAGAGTGGGGCGCTACTGACAGGGGCATGGGCCTTCACACCACTTGTGGCCAGGGAGAGCTGCATTAGTCGTTCGCTGAGAGACCGAACGTGTCCTTGCTTCAGATCCTTAAGCCCATCATCCTGGTGCACCTTCCCCGCGCCGTTCACTCGCTGCACTGTGGGGCGACCCTCAGTGCGCACCTTGCCGCTGGTCATCCCAGTGACGTAGAAGGCGGCACCCACTGAGGCAGGGAGAGAAGGCTGCTGGGGCTGGTTGTTCTGCTGCTGAGGCTGAGGAGGAGGCCCATGACCACGGAAATATTGTGACTGCACTTTGGCCTCTTCGTAGGTAGGGAGGTCCTCTGGGTTCAGGCACTGCCCTTGGCTGCTCCCACCACCTCCGCTGCCTCCTCCAGTCGATAAACCTCCCCCACCTCCACTGCTGCCACCCCCTCCTCCAACTCTGGTGGAGCCCAGCTTCTCCAGGCCGTTGTCCGTCTGCAGCTCCTGTCCCTGGGGTTCCTGACGGGCAATGTGGGGGGTCATGGAGTGATCATCAGAAGGGCCTACCTGTCCCTGTCCTGGATAACCTCCTCCCCCTCCCCCTCCTCCCTGGTGTTGATGTTGTTGCTGCTGCTGTTGCAGCACGTAATTCCGGTTCATCTGCTCCTGCAGGAGGCGCTGCAGGACGGTGCTGCCACCACCTCCTACACTGTTGCTGCTGTTGGACGACTCATCAGCTGCGGCCCTCATCTCTGCCTCCCGTTGGCCACGCACCTCATGGAAGGACAAGCTCCGCCCACGGTCAATGCTCCCTGAGAGCATGAAGAGGAAGATGTGGAGGGAGAGAAAGAGGAAAGGGAGCAGTGTGGAGAAGGGATGCAAATTGGAGTTTTATAAGAGGGAAAAAGTGAAAGAATGGAAAGAGCAAAGATCCAAGAGAGTGAAAGAAAAGACAAAGAGTGACGATATTCCAGAAATACAAGGGGAAAAGAGAGAATGAAAGAGAAAGTGACAGAAAGGATTAACTTCTGAGATACATATGGACCATTCACCCCCATCCCCGCCCCAAAGCCACTGAAGACCCATTGGTGCATGGAGGGAAAGTAGAACGAGGCTGAAGGAAGAACAATTCCTGAAAAACCTGAGGAGCCAAACCACCTGAACCCTTAAACGCAAATCACAAACAAACCACACACATATCAAAGCTAACAATTTAAATCAGAGAATGAAGACTACGGCAGCAGCGTGATGACTAAACATGGATCCTGAAGAGATCAATTAACATTTTAAATGTAGTGTTGTTTACTTGGCCCCTGTTTGATAACTAAACAATGGCTATGGGGCCTGTGGACTAATCAGAAACTAACAGAAACTTTACACATTCCATGATGTGACAGAGTATTTGAATGCAAAACCTTTAATCAAAGGATCAAAGGAAATCTTTGAGTAATTGCCTGAAGTGCCTCGACATTGTGACCTCTGCAAAATCTGCACTTGTCTTGCCTCACTTCTACACTACAAAGGCACCAAGTAATAATTATTTTGATTATAAATTATTCTATGTAATGTTTTTTTTTTCAATTAATCAGTTAATGGTTTGATCTATGTCATGGCAAGAACTAGTGAAAGATGCCAAACATAAATTAAAGGTGAATTCTCAAATGTCTTGTTTTGTGCGACTAACTGTCCAGAACCAAAGATATTTGGTTTGCAATGATCTGAAATGGAGAAAAGTAGCAAACCCTCAAATTTGTCATTTTGCTAAAAATACATGAAAAGATTTAGTTAATTCATTTCTATTTCAATATTCAAATAAACCGTCATGACAAGGGTTAAAAAGTCAGTCTGAAAAGTTGGATAGTAAGCTTTACACACAGATCATTTTAATGTCATTAACAAAACCTTGATGTTGTTTTCAGCCAAGACTGTATGACGTCCCATCAGTCACAAAACACTACTTTCAGTCCGTCTACATGGACTTAACCTGAACCAAAATGGATCACAGTGACTCCATTTTACACCTTTATAGAGGCCAAAGGGCAGGAAAATTACAATTATTAGAAATGTATATCATAATAACCCACTGGCTATGGCACAAAAGAAGATATTATAAGTTACAAGTAAACAAAACCCAGTGATTTGAAAATTCTCACAGCTGCTACCAAGAAACTCGATTGGAAATGTTCAAACAGTGTGAAGGACAGAAGCACTGTGTTTTCAGTTAAACATCTAACGTTGTCAAAGTTCAAACCACCTGGCATGGATTTGTTGGTCCAAATCAAAGAGGATTATTTCCTCCTGAGTCAAATCTCTCTTCTACTAGAGCCAATAAAACCCCGACAAGTCAACTCAAAACTGTTTATAACCTCTTCTTTGTAGTTTTGAAAAAGAAGTGAAAAAAACAAACTATTTTTCTTTTATGCATATAGTGAAGTTCTTTTCATGTTTGTTTGGGCAGGCAAAGTAAGGCTGCTTTAATATAAACGTGGTTTCTTCTGACAACGCTGAATGTTAACATCTCTTTGTTCTACAGAGAAAGAAAGAAATTATTACATCTAGCGCTTTCTGTTATTCTTCTCATTCTCAAGGAGGAAGATGCTTTTTTCCGAAACATCTGTAGGTAAATAAAATCGTGAGACAAAAGGAAAAATGTTAGCTCTGGCGCTATGTCAGCAAATGGTAAATGCTCTTCAAGCTGAAGAGACAAAGAAGAAAAAGTATTTCAGGAGTACAATGGTGGAAATTCACATGCACAAAAGCTCATTTTAAACTGTGACAGCCCAAGATTATAAACATTTCCATTAGACATTGATAAACTCTGACATTAACAAAGACACAGTACTCAACTTTTCATCTACGCTGCCACATCTGTTCACTTGGCCGGACTTCAGTTGGTCTGTTTTGCTTAGCTGTTGCTCAGCTGCTGAAATATTTCTACAGTTAGCTCTATAGCTTTTATGCACAGAATCAGTTTTGAATTGAAATCAAATATTAGTAGTTCCTCTGTATTACAAATATATTTCAACAATAGAAAGATTTTTTTTCAATAGCTTCCGTATTATAAGACCCAATATCAATGTCAAAGGTGTCAGAATGCAACATTTGGAAATTGTGGAGATTGACCAAATCCAGTCTCTCTCCAGTTTTTCTCCTATTTCTCAAATTGCCTGTTCTTTGTATCCATTGCTGACAAAGTGTGAGATTGTGCTCCTCTGACCTGTGGAGTGCAAACTAGGACCCTTTCCAAGAGCTTGAACAAATCATGTATTGTTTTTTTCTCCTCTCATCTTCCATTTTGTAATGCTCTGACTGCACAGTGCTCCCATATTACCTCATGGCTGGCTTCACTACCCTGGCCTCTTCTTAAATTTCAGATTAAATATAAAATTCTCTGTGAGTTGGACAGACAGACCTCTGAAATCATACGGACTACAACTCCCTTATTGACCTACAAGTACCAGGAGGCTTTACAGTTTTTCACACAGATCTTTTGTAATCTTTACTTCAGTCAATAAAGTTAGCAGGGGTTTTTACTTTAATTACTAATGACTGTTGTACTGCAGGTACATGAAAACATTACAGACAAATGTGGCTGATCTCTAGCCCTGTCCTGGTGTGACTCGGTTCAGGTCTGGTGTTAAGCTAATCAGAGTTTTGTAGGTGGACATAATCTTTCTGTGCCAGGGTCCGAAAAATAACCACAAACCTAACAATAAGCTTGCATGTAATGAAAGCCGACTTCCAGAAATAACAATTGTTACATCTGCATATTTTATTGGAAACGGAAATTTTAGTCGGCTTGGACACTCAAGTTAATTAACTATTTACTGCAACATTTTACTTCGGCGGTGTGGCTCTGCTAATGTGAAGCTGTCAAACAAATCACAGCAGCTTTTAACAAACAGTCTCTAAGTTCACAACCTACCCTGGCAGAACCTGATCCCCAGAACAGTTAATGAACATCAACACATATTTAAGAAACATACAAGAATAACTGCTAATAAAGGAAGAGCATGGGGAGATGGAGGGGGGTCAGTCAAACAGCGAGGATGCAGAGCTCACATTGTTCTATGAATGGCAAATGTTTATATGGACTGCCTATTGTAAGAAGTTTAATTCAATTGTATTTAAATAGCGTAAATTCATAACAGAAATTGTCTAGAGCATAGTTTTGTAATATTATTTAGAGAGACCCAACAATTCCCACCATGAGCAAGCACTTGGCCACTTTACATTTATTCATTTAGCTGATGCTCTTATCCAAAGGGACTTACAATTGCTATATATGTCAGAGGTCACACGCCTTTGGAGCAACGATGGGTTAAGTGTCTCACTCACTCTTTTTCAAAGGTACTTTATTTGTCACATACATGTAGTGAAATTCACCCTCTGCATTTAACCCATCCCTGAAGGGAGCAGTGGGCAGCCGCTGTGCAGCGCCCGGGGACCAACTCCAGATGTATATAAGTGTTTTTGGTCAATGGCACTGACTGAAGAATCTAACATGTTTTTGATGGCGGGGGAAAACGGAGCACCCGGAGAACATGCAAACTCCACGCAGAAAGGCCAGGACGACCGGGGTTTGAACCCAGGACCTTCTTGCTGTGCGGCCACAGTGCTATCCACTGTTCCACCAAGCCACCCTAAACATCAACTGTGCTGGAATTTTATGGTCCTATAGGCTTTTAGTAGAACACATTAAGCTGGATTTGTGTGAGAAATTTAAAGTCATTATTGTTGGCCTTTCCAAATTGCATCACCATTTGGCTTATTGGGCTCATATATCTGTGGAAGCACTTGCACATCATTTCAAGTTATATGATCAAGCTTCATGTTCTACCACATTCCAGGTCATGGCAATATCAACTGCGTCTATTTTGAGGTCACAATTAACTTTGACATTTTAGTCAAAAGTGTTAATTATTGTGTACGACCAACTGTGAAATATGCAGTGGGTACCGCATGCACATATGCGCACCTATGTCTTCATGCGTGTCCATGTGTGTCTTCGTGTTTGTCACGAGACAAACTTAACGGTGACCCACTCATGGCTAAATTGCTGTGATTCAGTTGTTTTCATCAGGTATGGGGTGTGACATTACACTTACACTATTGCTTTGACTAGTCCTTTAATTGAGATGGTGAGACAATTAAATATTGCATTAGCTAAATTTACTAAATTACAATTCCCCATTTTTCTTCTCAAAGCCAGACGCATTTTCTAGAAGCCTTACTTTAACTTCATTCACAGATTAGAGATCTGTTGGCTAAAATTTCCCTCCTCCCTACCTGTTTCCCTTGGCCAACTTACTTTCCCAAATCCCAAGTCTGCTCCCTGTCATACCTACCTGTGTGGCTGTTCTCACTGCGCTCTCCCAGGGGCATCAGTGGCAACAGCTGCTCATACTGTGATGCTGCTGCGGGCCCACCACGAGGCCTGGGCGGGGCTTGGTAAGGGTGAGCATAAAGATGGGGTGGATGCTGTTGTTGTGGGTGAAGGTGGTCGGGTGTAAGGTAGTAGAAGCCTTATGGTGGCAGGCGGTTCAACTCCTGGTTCTGGCCTTCCTGCAGCCTCAGCAGGTCCTCAAGGTGCTCCAAGATGTAGAGGCGCTGGTCAGTGTCGCTGAGACCCAAACACTCTACAGAGGAAATAAGTTCATTTTTATGGCAACATAGAACAAAACATGGGTGATAGCTTTGAAAAGAGGCCCACAACTTCTGCCTCATTCAGTCAGTGCGTTTACATGCACTTAAATAACAAGGTTACAGTCAGCTTTCTCCAGTAAGCTGATCTCTTAAATGTCATGTAAATGAGAAACCTGTTTCAGTAATCGGGGTAGAGGATTGTGAAACCTGGTTTCCCCAGATAGATTTCTCCTGAAGAATGCTGGTTGCCTGGCTATGTATACAGGTTTGAGGATTTCTAATCTGCTTATTATGTGAGCGTGTGTGGTACAGACTTCTGTCAGGGAAAGCAACAGCAGATCAGTAGAATGGAAACATAGCAATGCATTGTCATGTGTAAAATCCTATCCAAAGTCTGACTGAAACTGAGCAATGATCAGGATCCAAGCAAGTCGTGGATAATGCAACATTTGACATTTTCAGAGGAGAAGACCAGAAGCCGGTGAAAAACTCTCTCAAAGAAATTATGATTTTCTCAAGAGTCAATTGTGTGAGCGGCAATCAAGTGAAGGTTAGTATCAAAGAGATGGGGGGGGAGGTTTCCTCTTAAAAAACACAGTGAGTGATTTGAAGGCAGAAATGGCTGAACTAAAAGAGAAGTGCAAAGATATAGAAGGAAGAATGAGGAACATAAGTTTCCGAAACACCCTGTTCCAGCTCTAAAACCTCAGTTTCTAAGCAGCTAACTGCAGTGCTACAGCTGGACAAAGTGGACCACTTACATTGGAGACTGGGTCCAAAAAAAGCCGGTGGAAAACATTGTGCCATCATTGCTAAACTTCACTAATACCAAACTGTGAGGTACTGCCCACATTTGTAAGTGTGGCCAAAGGCTAGATGATTCAACCAATGTAACTATGAGGTCGGACTTACAACGGCAAGTTACTCCAGACCAGGCGTAAGCCCTGTTGGTGCAACGGAACCCAGGTGTAAATTCTGTGGAACTCATTCCAGTTTTTTCCTGTCTCAACATGGAGTCATCCTACTGACTAAACCCACACACACAAACCTAAAACCTACACACCCACATTAGGTTGTTGGGGGATCGATTCTTAGATGCATTGCGATTCTCTCTTTAACAGACAATCTGTTCTGAAGAAAAGTAAATAATGAGAAATTTGAATGCCTTAACTCTTCCAGTAAGAATTATGATCATGCACCACCTCTGAATGTTTACATTTTTCAAAATAAAATAAAAATATTTACAGCATTTACACTCCTAATGCAAGTTTTCTAACTAAGCTAAAAGATAATGGAAGTAAATCTGTTTATTTTAATCATGAATCATTAGAAAGTCACACAGTGACAAAAAGAAATTGTGATGCATCAATCATTGCATCATAGTTCTCTGAATCAGAATCGAATTGTGAGGTGCCTAGAGAATCCCACCCATAACACACTTATTCTGAATGTGAAACAAATGTTAATCACATTCACAAATTTAAATACTGATTAACTGTTTGATATAGTATTTGGCAAATTGTTTCATTAAAAGGCACTTATTGGTAAACAACTGCTCATCTTTAAAGTATTTCATTTGTTTGATTGAGTTTATGCTGTTAAAAAGGCTTTCCACAGGCCTGAAAGAACCCAGTACTTGAAGAAACACTGAATATTCCTGATTTATTAAAGTAGAATGTAAGTATACTTCACACTAGTGAAATGTACCACCAAATATTCAGTGACATGAATAAATGCATCAGTGGAACCTTTGAGTCACACAAACGTTTACAGGAACAAAACACACAACACGCAAGCCCACATAGCACAACATTAAACCACAAGTGGAATTTTGGGTGAAGACTGAATGAGTTAGAAAAGTGTTTACCACAAAGTAACGTGCTGACATCCACTGTGTGTGTGTGTGTGTGTGTGTGTGTGTGTGTGTGTGTGTGTGAATGTAAACCTGCATTTCTGTCTGTGCGTAAAGATTTACTTGCATTAAAGTATTACTGCTTAGCACTATGTATTAGTTGACGTGCACTTCAACAATGTAACTCTACGTCAGGGGCTGCAGCAATACCATGTAAATACAATGCAACAACAACTGTCATTGGTCACACTGAGCTGTTTGTGTTTGATGCCTGTGGACATCATTCATTATGAAGACTTCAAATAGATAGATATAAACTTTCCATCAAATCCCCAAAAATCCTCAGGTGTTGAGACTGACCCCACAGAAATGAACTTAAAAAAATAAAATTTATACACTATTTATACGCCAAACTTTTAGCCATGCTATTACTATGCATTCAGACCAAATGAAGTTGGCCTGTCTGGTAAGTTCCGAGTTAGCATATAAGTTAGCTAGCATTAACCCAAGTTAGCAAACAGCAGCCTATCCCGGTGTTCAAAATGTTTACAATATTAAACAATTCAAAAACAGTGTGTTTCTTGCCAGAGGACATATGCAGGAAGAAGTGGAAGGGCCTCAGAGACACGTATCTGAAGGATAAGAAGAAGGAAACGAACAAAAGAAGTGGGTCAGCAGACCGGCACCTGAAGAAGTCGAAGTTCCCTGGGGTCTTCTCATTCCTTGACCCCATTGTCACCCCGAGAGAAACGAGCAGTAACATGGCGGGGGGTTTGAGTCCAGTGAACCAGCAGCAGCCGAGGACCAGGGTTCAGAGTCAAAAGCAGGACCATCATCGTCAGATATCGGAGGTTTGTTTACAATTGAAGACTGACTACATGGGAAACTCTGCGTTTTAAGACTAACTAATTTTTTTGCATGCCAGTAGGGATATTCTTAAAGTTATTAAATGTGGAAATACCTAACTAGAACTAAACACTATTCTAACCTCTCCAAACCTGCCAGATCTGTCATTTGGTGAGGCTGCATTAAGTGCTGTTGATGCCCCTGCAACAACTGACAACACGCCATACATACATGACATCACTTATTTTTATGGCATTATTTCTGCATGAAATAAATCTTTCTGTCTTTTGACTGATTTCAACTGATGCCTTGAGCCAATGCTGTACTTCCACTAAATATGGTTTTATTATTTCATACAGGCAGAAGGAGAGCTACACCTGTCCCACCTCTCTCAGAGGATGGGCTTGTCCTCAAAAGCCTGGCTCTGTCCATGCAGCTTCTGCCTTGGCAGAAGGAAATTGTAAAATTTCAAATATATAAGCAACTTTTTAAGGCCAGCACTGTGGATCTGGAGCACACACATTAGACTGTCAGGGTGACAAATATTTGTATATATGTTTTAAAAACTGTGTGCATGTCATTTGCTGTGAATTTACGTATGAATTTATATAAAAATTTTACTTTGATAGCGACTAGCATGTCATTTACTTATTTTTGGTTATCCGCCATATTTCGTTTACTTCCTGTAATAACATCTAATTAAAGCTGCAAGCAGCGTTGGGCGGGCCCTCGCACGTGAAGCACGTCAAGGTGTGAGGCGGCCATAGCACATCGCACTATGACTATAACGGGCGGGATCAAACATGTAAAGTTTGGTGCAGATGTGAGCATGTAGACTTAAGTTACAACTTCCTGTTTGATGGCGAATCATCGTTTTTGGCCGTTCCACAAAAACTCAACTTTGTACAACTTTTAATCTTCAATGCATTTAGAGTACACAGCAAAAATCTGAAGTCAGTCAGACTAAATCCCTAGGAGGAGTTCGTTAAAGTACAGAATGTGTAAATCATCCAAAAATAACCGTAAAATTCAAAATAGACGGATTCCTGTTGGGTTTAGGGTATCACTCCAAGAGGCTTTTTGGTATGTCTGGACATGATACATGTGCCACAGAAATTTCATACATTTAAGTGAAACATGCCACAGGGGCTGCTTCGTTAAAGGTCATTTCCTGTTGCCAGCAGGTGGTGCTATGGCTTTGAGTAAATGTTGGCATGTAGATGTGTTCAGGGCTGGACTCTTATTAAACATGTAAAATTTCGTACAGATCTGAGCATGTACAGTAAAGTTACAACAACTTCCTGTGTCATGGTGAAGCATGGTACTTTGCCGCTACACCACTGCCAAGCCATTGACCGAAAACTCACAAGTTTTACAACATGACCACATCAATGTATTAAGGGTTTCCTGGGACAGTTCTGAAGTTCATATGTCCAACCTGCTCGAAGTAGTACATTACAGTGTAAAACGAGTCATTTCCTGTTGCCAGCAGGTGGCGCTATGACTTTGAGAGAATATTGGCATATGGATGTGTTCAGGGCACGACTCTTATGATGTATACTAAATTTGGTGCAGATGTGAGCATGTATACTGAAGTTATAACAACTTCCTGTTTCATGCCGAATAATTGTTTTCTGACAGCACGCCACGGGCAAACTGGTCGACTGGTAACAGCTGTTTGTACAACTTTTAATCGTCAATGGGTTTAGACTGCACAGCGAAAATTTGAAGGCGATTCGATTAATTCCCTCTAGAAGAGTTCGTTAAAGTACAAAGTGTGTAAATCGCCAAAAATGACCATTGAATCCAAAATGGCCGACTTCCTGTTGAATTTAGGCAATGGGTCCGAGAGGTTTTTTTGTACGTCTGGACATGATACACATACCGTGCGCGCGCCCTAAAAATAATCCCTTCAGTTTCAACAGGGTTCGTTCTTGGGCCCATAATAATAATAATATCATCAACAGCAGTTATGTGGAAAATAAGATATGCCACTATTATTATATTATATTATCTTATTATGTACCACTTCAGGACGATTAAATGAAATATAAAATTATTAATGAGACACATGTTTGATATTTATCTTTGGATAAATTAATTGTTATATTAATCAAGAAATAAAAAAATTATCTTTAGAATAATCAAAAATAAATGAGTCGTTAGATTAAACAAAAAAATATCAAAAAAATAATATTTACATTAATTGGTTTGAAAGAGAATCATTAGGTGCAGCCCTATATTAATTATGGTGTAGACAATGGACAACACAACAAGATACTGAAATGTAGACTT